TTCTCCACATCATTGCCAGCATTTTTTTTTTTTTTTGTCTTTTTGATAATAGCCATCCTAACTGGGGTGAGTCGATACCTCATTGTGGTTTTGATTTGCATTCCAATGATGATTAGTGATGTTGAGCTTTTTTTAATATATGTTTGTTGGCCATTTGTGTCTTCTTCTGAGAAATGTCTATTCAGATTGTTGTCCATTTTTAAAATCAGGTTGTTTCTTTTTTTGCTGTTGAGGTGTTTGAGTTCGTCATATGTTCTAGACGTTAATCCCCTGTCAGATGAATAGTTTGCAAAGATTTCCTCTCATTCTGTAGATTGTGTTTTCAGTCTGTTGATTGTTTCCTTTGCTGTGCAGAAGGTTTTCGTTTCTCCAGGATCAGCTGTACGGTAGAACACAAAACAAGTCTCAAAAACTTTTTAAAAATCAAAATCATGCCAAGTATCCTATGTGACCATAATGGACTAAAACTAGAAATCAGATAACAAGAGGAACATTCAAAACTGTACAAATACATGGAAATTGGACAACATACTCATGAACAACCAATGGGCAAAGGAAGAAATTAAGAAGGAAACTAAAAAATTTATTGATACAAATGAAAATAGAAACACAATATATTAAAACCTATGGGACACAGCAAAAGCAGTATTAACAGGCAAGTTTATGGCAACAAATGCCCACATCAAAAAACTAGAGAGATTTCATATAAACAACCCAATAATGTATTTCAAGGTACTAGAAAAGCAAAAACAAGCCAAACTCAAAAGTAGTAGAAGGAAAGAAATAATAAAGATCAGAGCAGTCATACATGAACTTGAGACTAACAAAACCACAGAGAAGATCAATGAAACAAAAAGTTGGTTTTCTTGAAAAGATTTTAAAAATGCATAAACCATTAGGTAGATTAAGAAAAAGACAGAGAAGACCCAAATAAATAACATCAGAAACAAAAAAGACATCACAACAGACACCACAGAAATACAAAGAATCATCAGAGACTACTATGAATACCTATATGCCAATAAATTCAAAAACCTAAAGGAAATGGATACATTCCTGACACATACAACCTCCGTGATTGAGCCAAGAAGAAATAGAAAGGCTGAACAGACCAATAACAAGTAATGAGATTGAATCAGTCATAAAAAGTCTTCCAAAAAAGAAAGGTCCGGGACCAGAGGGCTTCACTGCTGAATTCTCCTGAAACTTTAAAATGTTAATACCAACTCTTTTCAAACTATTCCCCCAAAAAATGAAACAGAAGGAATTCTTCCAACTCATTTTACAAGGGCTTTATCTGGAAGGCAAAATGGCACCACTCAAATGTCCACACTCAAATATGCCGCATTTTGGATCTTCCCTGAGCTGTCACCTCCTATCCTGGCTTCAAAATTGTGTGTAGTGAGCACATCTCCACGGTTCTCCCCTCCCTGTGGGTAACACTTGAGGATATATCAAGGAACAGGACTTGAGATTGCCGGGGGCAATGAAAAAGTTATGTTCTCTTGTGGAAGCTCTGCCCTGCTCGTTCACACCACCTGTGCCCTCAGTCCTGGGCAGTGGCCCTTGGGGGTCCTGGCCTAGGAGTTGGAAGGTGGGGCTACAGCTCCTCCTCCATTGTGTCATCTGGGCCTTGTTCTTCATTTATGGTCTCGATTTTCAAAATCCATTTCCAGCCACGGAGTTCCATAAGCATTTGATATAAATTTTAATTGTTTTGAAAGGACACAAATTTCCACGTTGTAGGCCATATTTCAAGACTGCAGAGACTGCCTGCAAAATCGCTTGTGCTATCATATTACCATATTTATATATATTCATATATTGTTTCTTAGATAAGCAAAAATTCTCATAGAAATCACAAAATATTTAGAGTCAAATCACAAATGTATTGCAAATGATAATACTTAGATGAATTTTGAAGTCTTAAATACGCTTATGAGAAAAATTAATAATAATGACCTCTGTGTCTATCCCGAGAAATTAGAAAAAGATACAAAACCCGAATGCATCAGAAAGATGGAAATACTATAGATCAGAACTTAAACTACAGGGAGTTGGCATTTGTGTTAGGTTATTTTATTATAAAGAAAAGATCTGATTTTTAAAATACAGCAAAATTATACAGTGAATACTATATAATATTAATGTCAAGTATCTGAGGTTTCTATTTGCTTGTATTATGTTATTCAAAATTAATTTTTATAGCTAGAGGCCAGTAAAACAAACATTAACTTTGAGTATTTAAAAAAAAAAAATCAGTGCCTGCAAATGCATTTGGGACTTCCTTGTGAGATGACTGGAGACCTTCTGTCCATTCCACACGGCCCTCCTGCATTCCGCACACCTGCACAGCAGGACAGCTTTCAGCTCTTCAGGAAGCTCCCAAATGAGTTACCATTCAGATCAGACCATCCCAAAGGTGCCACCGAATTCAGGGGGAACCACCTCATCAAGTAAAACGCAGTCACAAACAAATAGAAATTTGGACTTTTTTCAAATAGGTAAGGAGGAAGCAGTAGTTATTAGATATCAGTAATGATGTGACTTTGAAATAAAAATTTTCTACTTCTCACAGTCTGTTCCTGCTGCTTCAACAAAATACCTTAACCTGGATGATTTATAAATAACAGAACTTTATTGCCCACAGTTCTGGAGGCTGAGATGTCCAGGATGAAGGCACCAGCAGATTCTGTGTCTGGCAAGCGTGCGTCGCTCATAGATGGAGCCTTCTATATGTCCTCACATGAGGGAAGGGGCAAGGCACCTCTCTTCAGCCTCCCGTTCTCGTGACTTAATCACCCCTAAAGGCCCTATCTCTTAATACTATCACATTGGGGTTTAGTTTCCAATATATGAATTTGGGCCAGGGTGAGGGAAGCACCATTAATACTTTTTCTAGCTGTTAGATTCATTGTAAAACTCTCCTGAGGCTGGGCATGGTGGCTCACGCCTGTAATCCCAGCATTTTGGGAGGCAGAGGCAGGTGGATCACGAGGTCAGGAGTTTGAGACCAGCCTGACCAACATGGTGAAACCTCGTCTGTACTAAAAATACAAAAATTAGCTAAGCATGGTGGTGCGCGCCTGTAATCCCAGCTACTAGGGAGGCTGAGGCAGGAGAATCGCTTGAACCTGGGAGGCGGAGGTTGCCGTGAGCTGAGATCACGCCACTGCGCTCCAGCCTGGCGTGCAGCAAGACTTCATCTCAAACAAACAAACAAAAAAGAACTATCCTGAGTTTGAGTTTGCAAAGCAGGTGTTCGTTAGTTACAATAACTTCTTTTTTTTTTTTTTTTTTTTTGAGACGGAGTCTCACTCTGTCGCCCAGGCTGGAGTGCAGTGGCCAGATCTCAGCTCACTGCAAGCTCCGCCTCCCAGGTTCACGCCATTCTCCTGCCTCAGCCTCCTGAGTAGCTGGGACTACAGGTGCCTGCCACCTCGCCCGGCTGGTTTTTTTGTATTTTTTAGTAGAGACGGGGTTTCACCATGTTAGCCAGGATGGTCTCGATCTCCCGACCTCGTGATCCGCCCATCTTGGCCTCCCAAAGTGCTGGGATTACAGGCTTGAGCCACCACGCCCGGCCACAATAACTTCTTACCAGCATCCGTGGTGACTTTCCTGACACAATTTTAACTAAAATAAAGTGAAGTGATAACTAGAACACTGAGGGCTACACGAAGCTAGGACTGTCATCTTGAGCTTTGATTTCTACTTTTTGTCTCTCCCAAACAGTCAAGGGTCAGCTGCCTGTTTTGCAATAAAGTATTATTAGCCCATAGCCACACCCACTCCCATACATCCACTCTCAGGCCACAAGGCCAAGATGAGGAGTGACCATTTCACCCTTAAAGTCTAAACTATTGATGACTTGGACTTTTGCAGAGATAGTATGCCATCTCCTGCTCTGTGCGGTCACGGTGTTCTCTTTGAGCAGCTTGTAAATATTGTCATAAATGTAAATTTATAAAATTAATTGATAATAAAATGCTGGTTTTTTTGTATTGGGGTGCCTCACAAGATTCCGTCTTTAAAAAAAACATAGATTCTGTTACTTTGGTAAAACTTGAAAACCACTGTGATGTGGCATCGTCTGAGGGCAAAGTGACATGCAGTTAGCAGTAACATGTGAATAGCTCTGAAGGAAAACCCTAGGAGACTGAGCCTTCATGTTCCACAACTGAAAATAACTGCAGGTTGGTCATATTTGGAAGTAATTTTTTAAACGTAAAATCATTCTATTACTATTTATTGTGACAAAATACAACCAAAGCAGCAGCCTTCCGTGAGTTGTTTCTCCGTGCATTACTTTGAAAGGTATACACTGATTTCTTGACACAACTGGTACGAATGTTGTTGATATCTGCTACTCTGTTACATTGTTTAAATTATTTTTTATTTTTGTAATTGACATGTAGTAATTGTACATATTTATGGGGTACACAGTGATGGTGCAATGCGTAGAATGTAAAATGATCAGATCGGGGTAATTATCGTGCCCATCATTGCAAATATCACTTTTTCGTGTTGGGAACATTTAACATCTTCCTTCTAGCTATGTGAAACTGTATATTATTAGTAGCTATGGTCATCCTGCAGTGGCATAGAACATTAGAACTTGCTCCTCCTACCTAGCTATAATTTTGTAACCTTCAACCAACCTCCCCCTATCCCATTTCCCCTGACCTTTCCCAGCCTCTAGTATCCTCTGTTCTACTTTTTACTTCTATGAGATCACCTTTTTTTAAGCTTCCGTATGTGGGTGAGAACATGTGCTTTTTAACTTTTGTTAAGCATTTTAAGGTCTCGATTTTTACACTTTGGGAAAGAAAATTGGGAATGTTTCAGTGCCCTGGGTTTCATCTCCCCCGATGAGGCTGATGCCTAACTGGAGACTGACCACCACCTGCCTGGGAAGCTCCCGGGCCACACCTAAGCCACACTTCCCGGTGCCGTGCAGAATCAGAAGACATCCACCGATCCCCTTTGTGTCTTTAAAGGATATTCCCCGAGTCCCTCCGGTGGCTGATGGCCACCCAGCAGTTTGAGTCTGCAAAGAGGCTGATCCTCCACTTCACACAGAAGAACCGTATGAACCCTGAGGGTGACATCAAGGGTGTGATGCCAGGTGAGTACACCATGGGCTGGCCAGGGCAGGAGGTCATGCAGGGCTCACAGAGGCTCCACGGGGCAGGTCCCTGACACCTGGGCTGGTTTTATTGCACAAGCAGCTGTTTTAACCAGCTGTGCAATTCTCCTCTGACCTCTTGGCCTGCACAAGGGCAATGCAGCAGCCTTGACATTCTCTCCACTTTCTAGGTATTGGTTTCTTTCATGATCAAGTACAGCACACTCTGGATCTCCTCCTCTTCTGCCTAAATCCAGAAGCGAGCCATGAGCCCAGTATACACTGTTCAAGGGAATATCTGACTGTCTGGCCCATAGCCTGCCAGCTCTAAACACTGCCAGAGCGCTGGCTCAGGGTGTAGATGGGCCCATGACCTCACCTTTCCTAAGCATGACCTTCAAAGAGCCACCACTGTCTTTACCTGGCCATGACCTATTTGTTGGGCAGCCGAAGACAGGAAAGGTGAAGTGTTTTTGGATAGTCGTTCAGATCCATAGAACTCCTGTGTGTCAGGAGCGTTACCACAGCTAGGTGGGGGTTCTCAACCTGAGGATCCACGTTTCACCAGGAGGTTGTTAAAATCCAGATTCCTGGGCCTCTCCCTGGAACCCAGAGATTCTGAACTATTTGATTTGGGATAAGCCCTGAGAATTTGCATTTCTAATAAGCACTAGAAGAGATTCTGATGCAAGTGGTATACAGATCTCCGTTTGAAGGTCACTGGTGGGCTCCACGCTCTGACTCACTGCCCTCACTGAAGACCTGGGATAGACAGTTGTTATAAAATTCCCTGGGAAAATAACTTCCAGGCCATTGTCCAAGAGAGAATGTGCTCATTTTCCCCCATGACCAGAAATGCTTGTGATGACGATTCATTCGTTGAATCAACAGGTGTTTACTAAATACCTGCTGTGTTTCAGGCACCGTTCTAGAGCAGAGAAGACACAGGCAAAGCCTTGCTCTCACGCAGCTTGCAGGCAGGTGGGGCACGCAGACAGGGAGCTACGCGTGCCTACGTCAGGAGGGATGAAACAGCAGGGCCGCGGGATAGAGGGTGGCAGGGAGGGACTGCAGTCAGAGTGGCTGCGGAAGCTTCGCTCTCAGGGCGCAGGTACAGGAACCTGAGTGAGGTGGGAGAATGTGCCCTGCAGGTATCCATTTACGACGGGAAGGGATGCACAGGAACCCCAAATCAGAGAAGCCCTTGGTGCCTGGACAGGCCTCTCGTTAGACTCCCAATCCAGAAGATCAGGGACGCTAGGTCACTAGAAGCTCCTTGGTGCTGCCGTAGCTCAGCCAGGATGTCATCCTCTGCCTCGACTTGTGCAGTGACCTGAGAGTCAGGACAGCCAGACTGGACCACGTGCTGGGCGGGGCGGGGCCTACCCAGGGACGCCCGAAGCTTTTGCTTCGCTGGACCAAAGAAGGATGTTTGCCAGGTCTGGTTGACATGAAGGGTGCTGAGTGTTGGTGCATCTGTGGTCCCTTTTTAATCCAGGGACAGTGACGAGAAACAAGATGACACTCACATGGCACTTCCATGTCAGCTACTTTTCTAAGTGATTTGCAAATATTAACTCATATTTAATATTTAGTCCCAAGCGCTTCACGTGTGTTATTTCTCCATGACAGCCTATGAGAAAGGCACTATAATTAGTCCCATTTGCCAATGAGGAAACGAGAGCACAGAGAGGCTAAGTAGCTTCCAGAGGTCACACAGCTGCTGAGAAGCTGAGCGAGGATTTGACCCGCAAAGTCCAGCAGGGGGTGGCTTTGCCATATGCTGCTGTAACATGAGGGAGAGCTCCGGGTAGATACGCACTTCCCTGCGCTGAGCAGTGAGTGCTCAGCCGAGGTGTCTCCAGCGGGGCCGTGCTTGCTGGTTTTGGACGGTCCAGACGGCTTTCCCAGATTTCCCCAGACCTCACTCGTTAGCAGGTTAATGCTCTTAGGCTTACAGTACAATTTGTTTGTGGCATTTCCCTAATTAAGCCATCACACTCCGCTTCTTTCACGTTAAAATATTGTCTGGGAATAGCTTGTTTTCTCAATCCTAATTACACTGATTCATTTCCCTCCTATATTTGGAAAGTGGTATTAGATCCTTTTTAAAAATTTATTTCTTTGCTCATGAGTTTTGCTGGTCCTTATTTCCGTTCCAGAGTCCCAGGCAGGAGGCTGGGTGAGAGGTAGTTGGTGACATGTGACGTAAGAAAGAGGACAGAGGCTTCACCTCCATGGGGAGCGGTCCTCCGGCGGTCGCTCTGCTCTGCCGCCCTTCACGGCGGCCTCTGCTCTCTGCCGCCCCCGGCCGTCAGATGTGTTGATGGCAGCACGATGGCGGGGCTGCTGAGTGCTGGGGGAAGGCAGCGTGCCTTTCAGCTGCTACGTCTCCCACTTCCAGCTTCCTCTGCCCAAACTCAGTTTTCTGCATGGAATCTTCCTCCCATCACCCCATCTAATCCCACAGCCAACACCCGCTCCAAGCCTCGTGTCTGTCACCCTCTCGTGCCCTGGCCGACTGGCTGGGCTCCCAGCTTTGTTCCATCCTCCCTGCCACCAGGTCACACAGGATCTGATCACATCACCACCGGCTTCAAGCCTCTCCAGTGCCTCCCAGTGCGTTTCAGGTAGACCTCAGGTCCTCCAGGTCACTATCGAGGCCCTCTCTGGTCTCTGCCTCCCGCCGCCTCACACCCTGGCCTTCATTTGGCTCCCAGGACACACCACCATCTTCCTCTCCACAGGGCCCTCCCCGTGCACACTCCCTGTCCTCTCAGCTCCCACTCTTGCCTTGGCCAGCTCCTCAGAGACCAAGTCCGCCCTCCGGTTATTCACTGTTATAGCTTCAGCACTTCTCCCCGCTTCCGCTCATCCCAGCTATGATGAGTAATTGCAGGGTTCCTTATTAATGCCTGTCACCCCTGCAGAGCGGCAAGGCCAGGCAAGGCATGGCCTCTGTCTGTAGAGCCAGACACTTCTGCACCCCCAGCAGCAGCCCAGCCAAAGGCCTGACGCGTAGCAGGCGTGCCGTGAATATTTATGGGCTGAACGAACCCAGGACTCCTGTAGTAAGGAAGGGTTAGGACTGTAGTTGCAGCGCCTCTGGGTAGGTGAGTGTCTCAGGCCTGGCTGGAGGTATATGTAGGGGTCCAGCGGGGCTGCTTGCTGCCCCGTCAGTACATCCTAACCTTGGATTTATACCAGGGGAAAACCTGATGTTCCCAAATTTCTTATTTCCTTTTCTGTTTTAAAGCTGTCCTTGGTTTATCTTCTAGCAAGTCTGATGTTCTCAGTGGCCTGTGTAGCTGAGTTACTTTAGATGTGTGGGTGTGTTCCTGAGCATCAATCTCTCAATGTCAGTCCTGCAACCTTCATATCACATAACGCGCCCAAGTGCTGACAGCACTCCCGTGTCATAATTCCTGAGGTTTCCAGCATTTCTAGCAGGAGTAAAAGGCCCGCTGGTTCCCAGTATGGCTGTGTGGTCAGCAACCTAATGCAAAAACAAGACTGTGCCTTCAGTTCTGCAGGCTGAGCATCCCTTATCCAGAATGCTTGGGACCAGAAGTGTTTTGGGGATTGGATGTTTTGGGATTTGGGGATATTTGTATTATACTTACTGGTTGAGCTTTCCAAATCCAAAAATCCCAAATCTAAATGCTCCAATGAGCATTTCCTTTGAGAATCATGTGGGTGCTCAAAAGATCCTCAATTTTAGAGCATTTCAGGCTTCAGATTTTGGGATGTAGAATGCTCAGCTGGTAGTAAGATAAGCAAAAAGTCACTGGACAGCAACTGCCAGGCATGGGAGGAAGCGCTTCATGTGCATGTCATCTGCATCTGAGCTTCACAAGGGAGAGGAGCCATTCTCCTGCTTTACAGCTCAGAAAGAGGCTGAGCACTGGGGAACAGTAACTCCATGATCCCTCTCACGGTCAGGCTAGCCCCAGAGGAAGGACAGCAAATGTGCTCCTGTGTTCTCTCCTTGTGGGGAGCCACGTGCAGGGTGCAGGCATCCTCCGTCCTCAGCATCAGTCCTCTCCGGCAGCCTCACACCTTACCCCTGAGAAGCCAACCTGCCCAGCATTGCCAGGATGCACGGCTGAGTCTGTGTGATCCGAGCGTCCCCATCTTAGCCCCGTGTAGGGCTCCCCGCTACCCTTAGCAATGACAGAGCTCGGGTTTTGTCCTGACCTGCCTCACTCTGCCTTAACAATCTGTTCAGATCCTGAGATGACAAGAGGGTGGATGTGTCAGGCCACCTCCACGTTCCACACTAGGTACCTTACCCAAGTCACACCACCCGTAAGTGATGAAAGCAAGATCTGACCCCAGGCAGGCTGCATGGGGCCCTCGCTCTGCAGACGACCGCCACGGCTCACTCAGAGGGCTCGGGTTAGGTGGAGCCCGGGTCTGGGCAGACGAGGACAGAGATGACAGAGGTCGGCGGTGCCAGGTCAGTTGCTGAAGGCTTGGCTAGACGTTGAAGACTGTGCTGTCTGAGGTGACTTCGTGATAAGATTCCTATGGATGCTTATCTTCCACTTGCTTTAAAGCACATTTATTCAAGCGGCCGAGTGGCGCCATCTCAATCCGTCCCGGAGGGGAGAAGGGCTGCGTGGAAGGGGCAGTGGCTGCTTTTTCTACTTCCCAACACGGGCGTGGGGCTCAGAGCTGCCTCCTTGGAGCATTTAGTGTGCTTTTTTCATGACTCTTGTGGCAGAGATGGCAGCATCCCTTCTTCCCCTTCCTTTTCTCTTTTTCTCCTCCTGCTCCTTGTCCTCTTCCTTTTTCTTTTCTTGCTTGCTGTCTCTATAACTCATGCTTTTCCAATTTCACCCCTAACGCACTAGCATCGTCCACTAGGATGAAAACAAAGCTGGTTTATCCCACACCCCCACGCAAGCCAATTCCAGTTCTCCTCTGCGTGTGTTTTCCCTGCTCCTCCAAGCCTCGTCTTGGGCAAGGGGCCACTGCCTCCTCTGCTGTCCTCGGAGGCCTGATTTACCTGTCACACCAGATGGCCAAATGTGGAGAGGCCGTGCCCTCCTCCCAGCGAGTCAGCAGGGTTGTCAGGGCCTCCTTTCCCTTCCTCTGTTGGTGAGGAGAAGGTGGGAGATGTTGGGTTCACTGAGCCCGGGGCAGGAGGACACGTGCTCCCCGAGTGCTCCCGGAGGCCTCACCGAGTTCTCCCAGCCAGCCAGGCAGCGCTTCGTCCTACTTCACAGATGAGCAGCTGGGCTCAGAGCGAGGACAGCGCAGCTTTTCCAAGGAGCCAGCCACAAGTGCAGAAGCTGGGTTCCTGCCCGGGCTCATGGGACCCCTCACAGCACCCAGACCTCAGCCCCGACCACACGAGGATCCGTGAAAATGCGGAGGCACTGGGGCCGCAGGGTGGAGTTGGACAACAAAATTCAGTAGGCTCGACGTGGGTTTTGGTTGGAAAATTTTCTGATGGCTCTAAGTTGAGCAGGCCGATGTGTCCTCCTCCTCCTCCGTCTCGAGGAGTGCACGGGAGCCGGGTGCTCACAGCAGCAAATCCTGGATGCCAGTGCCCCACAACCTGGCCAGGCTCCCTGTTGCCCATTCATTTCCATGTGTGAGGAGTTCAGAGAAGTCCCTAGATGTCCATCTGATATCTGGACAGACAAAAAGGCCTCTTGGATTCAGCTACCGGTGTTAGAGCCATCTGAAGTGTCCTATAACACAGAGCTTGTGGATTTGGGGCCCAGAAGAACAGACAATGCTGCAGAAGCTTCATGTTGTTGTTGACAGGCTGGTGATGTGAGTAACTGGTAGTATGATAAGCAAAAAGTCACTGGACAGTGACTCTGCCAGGCATGGGAGGAAGCACTTCATGTGCTTCCTGACAACATATCAATAGCCCTGGAAAGGTTAATCTAATTCCACTTCGAAGAATTCAGTTACCTCTGCCACTACAGTCAATTTTTTAGACTGGGTTCTAGGTTTAATTTTATTTAAAAAGCTCAGGTCATAATGCAATTGTTATTGCTTCTTTAACATCATACTTCATAAACAATAACGTATCAGGAGTTCAGTTTGGGGTATGTATTTTTTAAACTTTAAACTTATATGGACTTGCTAATGGGCATTTAAATTTTCTTCTCGGAAGTCATCCATGGTGATAAAACGTAGCTATTAGAGTTGGTTTCTGATGAGGTCTATAATAGCAAAGATACTCAGATCATCAGATCCAAGGTTTTCTGTTAACCATGATATTTTTAAGCTCTTTACAAAATTAGTTTTTTTAATCATAGAGAAACTGTGCCTGTAGTCAAAGTAGCCCATTTTTGCTAAGGAAAAATAGTGGTCAGGAGACCTTGGGAGCTGAGAGGGTCCATGGACCAGCAGCTGAAATGCCAGCCCTGTGGGCTTGCATACAGACCTCAATCTTTGCACCTAAGTATGGGAAGGAAGAAAGTTCTGGAAACTCAGCAGACATGATATCCCTCAGACAAGGGAAAGGTTTCTCCTTCTCCCTTCTGTGGCCTGGCTGGTGACACTGAGTTCAAAAACAATGTTTGAATAAAAAGTTCCTAAATCCCTAGGATTTAGCAACACATTTTTTCTTTAAACTATAACGAAGGAGCTTTGTGACCCTCCTGCTGCTGGATGGCAGGAAGGAGGTGGAAGAGGAAGGTGGAACTTGAGCCATCTCGGGTTCAGAGTGGCCCTCGGAAGCACAGGGCCAGGGTCCTGGAGACACAGCCCCCGAGGGAGCAGGAGGGTTCCTCCAGAGGCAACTCCCAGCACTGAAGCCTTCCTCAGTAGACAGAGGCCTCCCCATCTCCACCGCTTTTCTTATTTTATAAATATATTATTCAGGGATAATTTTAGATGTAAGGAAAGCTGCTGAGATAGTACAGAATCTCCGTATACCCCTCACTCGGCTTCCCCGATTGCGAATGTCTGATATTGTCGTGATACTATTGTCAAAACTAAGAAAGTGACATTGGAACACTGCTGTTCACCAAACCCCAGCCTTTATCTGGTGCCTCCCATCATCGTGCTTTCCATGAAGCCTCCTCCCGCCCCGGGATGCCGCCCAGGACTGCGTCTCCTTCTCCCCTCTCCCTAGTCTCCTGGTCTGACAGCTGCTCAGTCTTTCTTGTTTCTCGTGACCTTGACAGTCTTGAAGAGTCCTGGTTCTCCTCCGCTTCAGGAAGTCTTTTTCTTTTTTAGCTCCCCAGTAGGGGATGATTCCATGAAGACATGCCAGGCTAGGAAGGCAGAGAGGCAACAGAAGAAGGCTGCGAGTGGCATTCCTGCTCCCAGACGCGCAGGCAAACAGCTCCTGGAGGCCAGTGCCTCTGCCGCATTCGGAATCTTCCCTGTAACTTGCCAAATCGACACCAGCACCTCTGCAGACCCCTGTAACACTGCGCTGGTGGACTCCCTTCAGAGGGGCTCTCAGAGCTGCTGGGGCCGCACAAGAAACCCAGTCTCATGACTTTATAGTTGCTCACATCCCTTGGAGCCAAAACATTGTCCAGCTCCCAAGGACTTCCATTAACTAAAACATGCACATGTATACATATGCGTATGAATGTGTGCATGTATGTGTGTATACATGCAGATGTATTCACTTATGTATTTGTCTTTCAAAGATTCGTATGTCCTAAGGGCAGTTTCAGCAGCAGTAGCTACAGCCATGGTAAGTTCCACCCCACGAGGCTAAGGAGCATATCTGCACGTGGCCTTCCCAGTCTCCGAGCCGGGGGTGACACAGGCAGATGCAGAGTGTACGGAAAAGAACTGCTTGTTTAGATTTGCCCAGGGCCTAATGAGTGCCTCAGTAACCTAGAATATCATCGCTGAGCTCTGTCCTCAGACAAAAGTGAACTGAGTCGACACTGTTTGTTTATTTGTGTGTACTCGGCCCGCTTTCACAAAAAGGGTTTGTGATGGAAACTTCTGCTGACGGTGCACCTTGTGCCCTCTCAGGCACCCGAGGGAAACCGGAACTGCAGAGCTGGAGTCTTCTGAGTGCCTTTCTATCCCGGAAACCTAGACCCTCTCCACTGGCAAAGAAAGAAAAAAAAGGCTTTCTCTCCCTTCCGTGGTGCCCAAACTGGGCAACCAGGACTGTGCCTGCAGCTGCTGTGCCATCCTCCATGGCGGCCTGCCCAGGGCTCACAGGGTCTGTTTCTTTGCAGAGCTGGAGAAGGAGCTTTCCCGGAGGCCCAAGAAGGTCTGCATCGTGAAGGTGGTGGGGACCCGGAACCTGTGGAAGAACATTGTGGTCCTGTGTGTGAACTCGTGAGTCACAGAGACAAGTGCCAGCCGGGTGGGAGGGGGCCAGGGAAGAAGGCGGGCAGCGGTGAAGCCCAGGGCCCTACTCCCCACCCCGCTGAACTTGGAATCCTAAGGGTGTGTGTGAAAAGTGACACGGGCTAGAAGATACTGGCCTTCCCCTCCTGGAAGCCTCAAGCAGCCGGTGCCCCCAGCCCAGGCGTGTAAATCCTGTGAGCAGAGCCTCCCCATGTGCCCATGAGGTCCAGGGAACCAAGATGCACATGAACGCACCTCCTGAGGGGCACAGTGGGGGCTGCTACAAGGCTGGGACTTCTGGGCCCTGTCTCGGGACAGGGGATTTGAGACCCATGAGGCCTTGGCTGCAAAGTGGCTGTGGCCCCTGTCTGTAGCCGGCCCCACCCTTCCTGAACCTGCAGCCAGTCTGGCCAGAGGCGCCAGGATGGCCGCGGGAGGAGGCAGGTGGGCCTGAGCCAGGCCAGTGAGCCCAGACCTCCTCCCAGGGCCCTCACCGGCCCTGGTCACCCCGCCTGCTGGGTCCTGCAGGGGCTGGGGACATCGTTCACGCAGGTTCTTCGCAGCCCAGTCCCTGGGCTTGGTGTGTACCTAGAAGGTCACTCCTGTCTTGACTGATAGCTCAGTGGCCCTGACTGTGCAAGGCGGTCCCTTGTTCAGGGTCAGAGGTCACCAAGGTGGCGGAGGGGAGGGATTCGACTCATTTGGGTTAGGGGTCAGCTGGGGTGTGGCACTCCTTTGTGAAGGGTCTCGAGCTGCCACAGGTAAGGACGGAGGCCCAGGGTGAGGGCTCAGGGCCAGGGTGACCGCTCAGGGTGACCGCTCTTGTGCCCACACCTGTCTACTAAAGCCACGGCAGAGGAGCATGAGCGTGGACCCCCACCAGGAGAAGCATTCCGTATTTCTCTCACGTCTCCTCTTTCGCACTTGCTCTGGAATCTGCTCGTGGTTCGGTCATGGCGGGCTTTTCTATGACACATTGAGTTGCTTCTTCATCTCCTGGTCACCTGACACCATGAGCTCCCGGGAAACGGCACAGCCCCTGGCGTGGGGGCAGCCCACCCACCGCCGCTCGGCATGTCTCCACAGGCTGACAGGGTACGGGATCCACCACTGCTTTGCCAGGAGCATGATGGGCCACGAGGTGAAGGTGCCGCTCCTGGAGAACTTCTACGCTGACTACTACACCACGGCCAGCATCGCGCTGGTGTCCTGCCTGGCCATGTGCGTGGTGGTCCGGTTCCTCGGGCGCAGAGGCGGCCTGCTGCTCTTCATGATCCTCACCGCCCTGGCCTCGCTCCTGCAGCTCGGCCTCCTCAACCGTGAGTGGGCCAGGGAGGCGGGCTGCGTGCAGGGAGGGGGGCTGGCAGACCCCCAAGGGCATTTGAAAGGGCTGAGTAAGACTCCAGTGGCCACTCTGAAATCTACGGCTGGAAGGAGCTGCTTCGGGGAGGACAGATCTTCCATGAGAGCATCTGTGGAGCCCGCCTCGGAGGGCCCTGGGCCTTCCCTCCTCCCGCTGCCCCAGCCTGGGCTGCACCATGATTCCGTCCGAGTCCTGGTGGCCGGGTCTTCACTAATGGGGCAGACTGCTTCTGTGTATGACAAAGAAGAACAAAGGATTGTTTCTTTCTAGTGACATGAAGAGGGAAATAAATCTGTTTTGTCACCCTCGCATTAGGGCCCTGCTTTTCAGCAGATGTTCCCGAGTTCATCAGCTTCTCTTTGGACCAAAGAATTTCTCAGTAAAGGTTAAAAATAATCTGGCCAGATGTGGTGCCTCACGTCTGTAATCCCAGCACTTTGGGAGACCGAGGCAGGCGGATCACAAGGTCAGGAGTTCAAACCAGCCTGGCCAATATGGTGAAACCCCATCTCTACTAAAAATACAAAAAATAATTAACTGGGCTTGGTGGCACATGCCTGTAGTCCCAGCTACTCGGGAGGCTGAGGCAGAAGAATCACTTGAACCCGGGAAGCAGAGATTGCAGTAAGCTGAGATTGTACCACTGCACTCCAGCCTGGGTGACAGAGCAAGACTCTGTCTCAAAAAAATAATAATAATCATCTAAGGCAAAGCTAGAGAGTCCGTCTGGCCCTCCAGCAAGCTCTGTATAGCTCCTCACTAACAGATACCCCGTGTGTGGACAAACCACCACAGCACCTCCGTGGCCGGCCCAGGGCACGACATGAACAGGCAGGGCCGCTGAACCTCCTCTCCCGCCCTGGCACGGTCCTCCTGGGACAGGCTCGGGACACTGTGGGAACATCGACCCCACAGAGCTCCCCTGCCTTTACAAGGAAAATGAACGCAGGCTCTCAGAACTAGATGCCAGGGCTGTCCACCACCCCCAGATCAGAGCGGCCTTGTCGTGCAGCCTGGGTTAGAGAGGGCTCCCTTCCAACTCAGGAGCGGCTCTCTAGCTTGGACAGTTCCTGTGCAATCTGTACCTTGCGGGGAGACTGCTGGGAGGCTTAGCTAATGGAATACACACGTGGTGCCTGTCTCCCTCCATCCCCGTTCCCCAGCTGCCCTTCCGGGAGCCTCTGCCCTGCTCACACAGCTGGGGCGGAAGTGGCGGAGTGCCTCGGCCACCAGGTGTTGCCATGCCCCTTTGGCCCTGAGCAGGAATGCCCAGGAGCCCCAAGTGAACACCAGGCAGCCATGAGGAGCAGAGCTGGGGCCAGCAGGGGTGCCCCACAGTGCTTGATGCTGCTTGAGTGCAGGCCGCAGTGGCCCGTGGGTGACTTTATATGCACGGAAGCTCACCCTTTGCACCTGCTAGGGTCTCGCTGTGGAGGTTCCATTTTCTCCCCAGGCTCTGAGGTCAGCGGGACCTTACCCCTGTCTTCCTAACAGAAAGATCTTTGTTTAGTGCAGTATGAACTCCACGGCCCTGGCAGCCAGCGCCATCCCAGAAACGGAAGGGAGTTTGCTTGAACCAAGTCACATGGGAACACACTGGGCTAATTCCACAGCTAATGTGCTCTCTCCTCTCTCCTCACCTGCTTTGCCCTTGTCTGTGTGGGTGCGATCATGTCCACGGGCCCAGTGATTGGAAAGTACAGCCAGCACCCAGACTCAGGTGAGTCCCAAGCGCGTGGGCTGTGCTTCCTCGTCTTGTATTACATCTAAACCGGCGTTTTCTCCAAGACTCACGGACCTGTGGTTTCCGTTTCCTCTCTTTCTCCCCCTTGCCCTCCAAGAACTGCAGCTGAAGTTGGCCGTAGGTTGGACACTATACGGATACATTTGTATTCTCCCTCTTGCCTCTAGAAAGAGCGACTGGTGCTTCCCTGTTTCTGTGCTGCTTGGCACGCATGCCCCACCCCTTCCCCTGGCACCAGGCTCAGCACAGGCCCTGGCCCGGCGCCAGCTTGCTTTGTCTTATGGACAGCATATGGGTGGGGGAGAAAGGCCGGGAGTGCTGGGGCCCGGCCGTCTGTGCTGCCAGGGGAAGCCGCTGTCCCCCTTTGACCCGTGTAAGCTTGCTGCCCTCCAGCTCTGGGGACAGCACAGTGCCGCCCTGCACCTTGAAGCTGCTGCTGCTCCCGCCTGGCCTGCCCCAGCCCTCGCCCGTGTCCCTGGGGAGCGCTTGCCCTCTCTGCAGCCTTGGGGGAGCTGAGCTGAGCCCCAGCTGTGTGGCCCTGACAGCATGTCCATGCACGGTGCCAGACACGGCCCTGGTTCAAGGTCGGTCTCCGGTGCCATTCACGAGGGCTTTGATGGGTTGAACACTTTCCTTCTGGGCCCATAAATTCTGTAGCTTGAGTTTTTGTTTCCTCAACCCTGACTCAGCTCCCCTGTCCCACGTGTTGGGCACATCAGACCTGACTGGAGCAAACGTAGACCAGGGCAGAGGGATGTTGCTGTGGCACCGGGGACACGGCAGCCTGCCCTCCCACCAGGCATGGCTCCCGGCTGAGGAATGCCAACAGAGGCCGCCATGAGCTCCAGCATGCTTGATGCACAGGGACTCACAGGAGCCCCACAAAACCTACTGCGGGGACTCTGGGCGTCTAGTCCTTGAGGGGCTTGGTTCCCAGAGGGAACTGCACACCCATCCATGCCGCACGCTGGGCACTGGGGAGGAGCCGTGCCGTGCAGCCCCGGGCCTCCCTCCCACCCTGGCCTGGCTTCCTCTCTTCCCTCACCACCCCCTTCTTCTGACCCTCCCCCAGGGATGAGTGACAGCGTCAAGGACAAATTTTCCATCGCGTTTTCCATCGTGGGCATGTTTGCCTCCCATGCAGTGGGGAGCCTCAGCGTGTTCTTCTGTGCAGAGATTACCCCGACGGTGATAAGGTGCGTAATGGGAGACACCCCGGGGAACGGCGGCTTCTCGGGACTCAAAGACAAGTCCCTGGCTCCAGGCTGGTGTGGGATTAACCAGCATCAGCTCTGTCTCTGGCTCTGGGCACATCGGCTTCATAGTTCACAGCCGAGGAGCCTGTTGTACCCAACCCTGAGGTGCCCGAGAGTCACGGGAGAACCTGGCCCTGGGGTCCTGTCCAGGCAGCAGCAGGAAGAAGGGGGAACAGGGAGCTACTCTGGGCCCAGGAAATATGTCAGTGACTGGCAAGGGGGGAATTCAGTGGATCACTCATGCCGCACTTCCACCAGAACCTGTGCCGCCAACTCTGCTAAGAGACCTCACGGCACAGCTATTGCAGAATGTTTTAAAAAGTAGAAAGAGTCTTCCCCCCCGCCCCCTGCCCCCCGACCCCCAACCAAGATGCAGTTTCACTCTTGTTGTCCAGTCTGGAGTGCAATGGCATGATCTTGTCTCACTGCAACCTCTGCCTCCTGGGTTCAGGCGATTCTCCTGCCTCAGCCTCCCGAGTAGCTGGGATTACAGGTGCCTGCCACCACGCCTGGCTAATTTTTGCATTTTTAGTAGAGACGCAGTTTCATCACGTTGGCCAGGCTGGTCTCGAACTCCTGACCTCAGGTGATCCCCCCACCCCAGCCTCCCAAAGTGCTAGGATTACAGGCGTGAGCGACCGTGCCAGGCTGAAAGAGCCTTATTTTATACTGACCTGAGAAGCTGATGTCATGAATCCAAAGAGAGAAGGCCCAGCAAGTGAGATCACTGACTCATGTAAGAAACGTGGATGGAGAGCCCGCTGCGTGCCAGACACTAGGCCCAGAAAACACAACAGCACAGTCCTGCCCTCATGGAGTCTGTGGCCATTTCACACCTCCCTAAAAGGTGTGACTCACTTGTGCTCAGCCACTTTTGTTTTAGTTCAGAAAGTGAGGCTGACCCCTTCCTGGTGCCGTCTCTGTCCCTGGGTCGTGGCTCCTGGGTGCTACACACCATTTACTGTTGCCATGCGTATAGGTTAAGAAAAAGGCATGCCTCCACTACAAGAGCATCACTCAGCTGCAGTCATTTTCCTGCAGTTTGTGACTTACTGAGGAGCTTAGCTTGAGTTATACCACACTGAGCTTCTTAAAGGAGTGTCATTAGCATTTCTCATGCATGTGCCTTCATGAAACAGAACTTGAGAGTAAGGCCAATAGTTCAGCCGTGAGTCAAAACCCAGGTGTCCGAATAGTGACACCCTTGGGAAAATCCAGTAGAGGCCACTCCAGTCCAAGGCGGGCTATGTGGACGCTAATGATTTCAGCCCCTCTGGTGCTGGGGAAGGCTTTGGGAGCAAGTAGGCAAGTCCGTGGACTTTCTGACTTTCCACGTTTCCAGCAGCCATGCTAACAGCAGCATCTTCACATCCGCACTTTGATTCATTCTCTTGGATCTGTATCATACAGGCCCAGCCTGACAGCTACTGGGTACCTGGACAGAAATGCCGAGGTATTGTATGATTAAGCACCACAGAACTCATCCTGTCCCTACCTTCTGCATAAGCCACAGGGGAGAGATGAGTCAGGAGCTTATTTAGTGCTTGCAGTTGCAAGATACCTCAGGCAGACCGCAGGCTCACTCCCTGTCTAAAGGGGGGACAGTGAAATTTCCCTCCTTTATCAAAGAAAACAGCAAAGACGAGTCTTTCAATAGAGCAGAAGCCGCAGTCAGACCTTCCGGGTTTCCAGCTGGTCTCTTGCAGCCTTTGCATGATTATGCATTTGGTGGGGGGAGGGGGGGCCAGCAGGGACCCCTGAACTCTGGCAGTTGGTAGGAATCATTATTCTCTGTTAGATTTGGCTTAGCAAGCTAGACGGAAGGAAATGCTGTTTCCTTTTCCTCTTTGATGCAAACCTGGAAAGATTTGGGGATAGAAATTCAACAAACATGTTCTCAGATTCAGCTTGCCAAGATGACAAACTGGAAAAAATATGTGACCCTTGGTGATGTTTTCGTGCCTGCGGAGGATGAAAGGAAATTGAGTCCAAAGGGGGTCCCTGGGCCAGGCTGGGAGAATGTCTAGCGTTCCGGACAAATCCCTCTTCTCGCTGGGAGCCCTTTTCACCCGTGCCATCGGGAGGCCGCAGCTCTTTCTTGCAAATGCACTCGGGAACGATTCCCATGGAGGCGCTAGGATGGAAGTGGACTCCCCTGTCATCCCCCACTTCACAGAGAGAAATCCAAGATAAGCCGGGATGGACGGCCTGGGGCCCATGAGCTGCAGCGTAGCACAGAACCAGCCTTTCCCTGTGACACTCAACTACAGACAAGCCTCCTGGCAGCAAAGGGAAAGGGGCCAGGATGGACTGCCTGGAAGCAATATGAGGTTATGAAATTTTCTGCAGAAAGTTCAAAAAATGCTTTTATACTTTTCATACTTGTTCCACAACAAAAAGCAACAAAGGCTTGCAGAAATCTATTGCCCCGAGGATGATAGAGGCCAAGTAAACTAAATATTGTTTCATGAGGTTCTGTCCAGACCTCACATCGACAGAACCAGCTACCCGCTCAGGCCCAGGCCAGGTGGTGGTTCTCATCAGCCAGTGCACAGCTCATTAGATTCATTTGTAAGACGTGGGGAGTTGGGTGACTTTGCAAGTGTATCTGACTGTGTCCACCTCCCAGCTTGACATGGGCAGAAGTGGCCTGGGGTCTTGGGTGGATCTGGAAGCAGCTGCTGGCTGTGCTGGGGCTGATCTTTTCTATCCACTGTCCATCTGGATGTTCCAAGTGGGCTCCAAGGCTTCCTTTGCCCTCACACGGGGGTCCAGGTGAGAGAGGACGCAGGCGCTGGGGATCATGACACCCACCTGTTTTCTCCTGCTCTGCCCACTCCGGCAGCCCTGGCCCTTTCTAGGTCATAAGCCGGACGGGCCTCCCTGAGACCCTCCCTGACTGACGACTCCCTGACATCTGTCCCCTGCTTTAATGCTGCCTCAAGAATAGGCACTGACGGCCAGGATGACCTGGGATTAAGGGAGCATCAGAGTCTGTTCAACTTCTTTAAAAAGTTGTATCTTAAAGGCCAGGGGCGGTGGCTCACGCCTGTAATCCCAGCACTTTGGGAGGCCGAGGCGGGTGGATCACGAGGTCAGGAGATCGAGACCATCCTGGCTAACACGGTGAAACCCCGTCTCTACAAAAAATACAAAAAATTAGCCGGGCGTGGTGATGGGTGCCTGTAGTCCCAGCTACTCAGGAGGCTGAGGCAGGAGAATGGCGTGAACCCGGGAGGCGGAGCTTGCAGTGAGCTGAGATCATGCCACTGCACTCCAGCCTGGGCGACAGAGCAAGACTCCATCTCAAAAAAAAAAAAAAAAAAAGTACAAATATTTGCTCATCCTCGACTTCACAGAAATGTAGTCAAGTCACATTAAGTAATATAAAAGAGGAGGTGGAATGGGAGGCTCACCTCCAGTGTTTCAACGCGAGATGGTAACGTCACATGGCTAACAGCAATTTGATTCTGGAATCCTTAATTCAATGAAGTTTGCCATTTCTAATAAGAAGTCGGCCTGCATATCCGTCTACTTTATTTAGATCCTATTGCTAGTAAAATAAAGATATCCCGTGGATATTACAATTTTGTGCTCCTAAGGCACAAGGAGGCAGTGCCTGCCCTCCGGTCTCTGTCCATAAATCAAGCAGCTCTGACTTGTCAACACAGGCCTGCGCTGCCCTCTAGTGACAACCTAGAGAAAAGCAGAAAAGGCACAGGCAGAGCCCACATTTCAGGGCAGGAAATGAACCTTAAAACCAAAGACGTAACAATCTCTTTCTGTAATCTGAGATTTCAAGAGAGAAAAAAAAAAAGCCAAAAATGGCATACCAACTTCTGCCACAATTTTTCCTAATCGTACTGAATAATGTCAAGGAATCTTTTTTTTTTTTTGAGACGGAGTCTTGCTCTGTCGCCAGGCTGGAGTGCAGTGGCGTGATCTCGACTCACTGCAACCTCCATCTCCCTGGTTCCAGCGATTCTCCTGCCTCAGCCTCCCGAGTAGCTGGGATCACAGGCACGCGCCACCATGCCCAGCTAATTTTTGTATTTTTAGTAAAGACAGGGTTTCACCTGTTGGTTACGATGGTCTCGATCTTCTGACCTCATGATCTGCCCATCTCGGCCTCCCAAAGTGCTGGGATTACAGGCATGAGCCACTATGCCCGGCTATGTCAAGGAATCTTTGATAGAAAACCAGATCATTGCTTCCACAGAAAAAAATAAAAAGATATATTCCATATTCTATATGCATGTGTATATTTGTTGCATATTATGTATACACATATATGTAGACATTTTTCTAATGATCTGCAAATTAAATATATTTCATTTCATTTTATTTGGCACGGTTAACAAGATAGATCCATATGATGTGGTTCACCAGGCACAATGCCAGGCTTTTGCTCCATGCAGTTTGCCTTTTCACAGTGGCCCTGTGCCCACCCCTCCTGGGGGTCTGTGCTCTGCACTCCTGTATGTGACTCCCATGTGAGTTAGGGGAGTCCTCTCGCTGCTTGTCAGTGCCGTCCACATTTAATGCTGGGAAGGTCAGGCAGAAACCTGGGAGGTTTCCAAGAAAATGATGTCCCCATTAAGATCCTGTCCATTATCCCTAGCACCTGATATGCCCTGTGGCTTCCTGAAGGAGCCAGGTCTACCAGAAACACTTAATTGGCTATTTTAGGTGTTCAGTCTTCATCTTACAGAAGGATTTGATCTTACTGCTCATTGCAGTGGTCATCTATATTTAACCTGTCCCATTCATCTGGGTGAGCTGACCTTCCTACTCAGGAAGCCAGTGTGATCCGCAAGCATCCAGTATTTATTAAACACAAACAACACGTGCCTGTTGATGTCCTAGAAAATAATTCTTGCCCTTGAGGGGCTCAGAGACTAGTAAGGCGACAGGCACGTGAACACATACTGACAGAAAGA